TCTAGGTGTGGCAGTAAGGAGTGGGCTCGCAAGGGCTGGCTTCAGCTGCAGCTTTTAGTCATATAAGGGTCATCCTATCATCACTGCATGGGTTGTCTCTTGCAGAAATAGCTGTAAGCCTCTCTGTTAAGTTTGTCTTTGCTGTCTTCTAAAGACACCTTCCAGCCCTCCTTTGACTGTGGAGGGGGATTGGAGTCAATAGGTTAAAATTAAACTCTGAGATCTTCTTCAGTGAGGTTTGTATTGTGTGCACATTGTTAGTAGGATTCTCTCTTCTAACAGTGTGTTACAAAATTATTAGCAATCTGTATGTATTGATTTTTCTCTTTATCTCTGTCTTACTTGTGGGTCAAACATGTTAATGATAGCTTGAGTCAGCTGGATTGCTGTGCCCCAGATTTTAGGAGTAATGGACTCTCTCTTTTGCAGATACCTTCTTAAATCTTCCTTTCTTATAGAATACCTTCAGCTGTTAAGAGCTGTGCACTTCTCTCTAACAGGCCTCCAAGAAGAAGGTGTATATGCTGTATAACCTGCAGCCTGACCGGTCGGTGACTGGTGGGGCTTGGTACAGTGACCAAGACTTTGAGTCTGAATTTGTGGAGGTGTTAAATCAACAGTGTTTTAAATTTCTACAGAGTAAGGTGAGTGCCACTATGAAAGCTACCTTGCATTTGTCTTGTGGAAGTAATTATTTTCTTTATAAGACTACTGACAGGCAAGGCTTAAGTTTTCCGTAGTGTTTTCTGTAAGTGTTTGCCGTTGCTATAACTGGATTGGCAAATCTGTACTGGATTGTATTTGTCACAGCAAGTGTGATGGTGTTGCATTTTAGTAATGCATATTTTCACACCCTGTACAGGGAGTGAAGTCTTCTGTCTCCAAAGCCCAATGACAAGCTAGGCAGCAAAGAACACAGGACCAAGAAACCTACCAAAAGTCAGTTCTCCCTACAGAGCGCCTAATTTCTGAGAAGGTGGAAGGCACTAGTCAGTCAGCTCTGCCTAGAAGACAATTTTCTCTAGTATAGCTGCAGGAGAAGCCTGCTCTCCGTTAAATAAGTCCTATGCAGATTGCAGTATTTCTCTGTTCCATTAAAATACATTTTAACTGACACTAGGTACAAGCAGAAACTTCTGTGTCAGAAACCCACCAGATGCTGATATTCCTTGATATTAATCTAAATCACTGAGTAAATTTTGTCATATTTAGTGTAAAATTATGTTTGGTTGCGCACTGCATTGTCTCATGTACTTCAGTCTTAAGGACATAGCTTTAAATGCTAAATAAAAAGCATGTCCCAGAAATTGTTTGGAAATCAACTTTTATATTTCAGTCTGCCTGAAACTGAACCACTAAGGGGGGGTCTTGGTGGTGACTGCTGACTATAACTCATCTGTGCTTTTTCTCAGGCAGAAGCAGCTCGAGAGAGCAAACAGAATCCTATGATACAGAGGAACAGCTCATTTGCCTCATCCCATGAGGTGTGGAAATACATCTGTGAACTGGGTATCAGTAAGGTCAGAATAGATTCATCTTACTACTCTCAAAATTCTCAGTGCATGACTAGCTGCAGGAGTTGGGTCCTGCAGATTTGATGAGGGTCCAGTAAGTGCTACAGTTACTGTATTGGAAGTGGGCTTTGCTGTGTTACTGCTTTTTGAGAAGGGTCATTGGTGCTGCATGGGATTCCAGGGTAGTTTTCTCCTGTAAATCATTTTCCTGTAAAACTGGAAATGTATCATGCTAGGATGATGTAGACACTTGAGGTGCATAGGGAATTTCTTTTTGTTAAGCCAAGGCTAATGTAATCCAAAGTGCTTGGGAGGTAGGAGGTATTGGTATTTACTTTTCTTTTTGTATCTGCACAACCCCATAAAGTGCCCAGTGAGAGTGGTGCTTTTATCTGGGCTAGGTTAGAACTCTAAGGATTTGTTACTCATGGTGCTTGCTCCTTTCCTCCTTGCAGGACTTACTGGTGCACGTCTTTCCTAATGTTTATTTTACAAATTATTTCTTAGGTAGAATTGTCAATGGAAGACATTGAAACCATTTTAAATACGCTAATATATGATGGAAAAGTGGAGATGACTATTATTGCTGCGAAGGAGGGGACGGTAGGCAGTGTGGATGGACAGATGAAGTTGTACAGAGCTGTTAGCCCTCTCATACAACCCACTGGATTAGTCAGGACGCCATGTGGACTCTGCCCCGTAAGTAGCTAATTCTGTATATGAATAGGTGGGTGCATGAAAATTTTGAATATAGTCCTGCAAATGGCCAGCCAGCACACCGCCAGGTTATGCCTGTGCGTGGTCCTCCTGGTTTTATAAGCCAACTGCGCTTACGAGTGTTATCCCTGGTGCCTTAGCTATGGTGCAAGAGGCAGGTTCTTTAGTTTAGACCAGGCTGTTTCCCACTTACATCCTGTCTCTTTACTAGACTGTATGTGAAAGGGTGCTGTCAAGTGTAGCCCATTCAAATACATTACTGTGTTTTCTGATCCCAAGTTTGCCTGGTTTTTAACAAGATAACTTGTTTCTGTCTAGCTTTTGGTCTCTCCTGCTTGGATTGTAAACTGATATGTAGGTAAAACTTGTGTGACTGCTAGCATAGTTTAGCATAGCATAGACAGTGGGGTCTGTCCTGCTTCTCTTCTTCAGAGCTGGCATACGACTTTCTAGATTTTGGCCTCTGTTACACTACTGCTTTTCTACTGGGGAAGAAGCAGAAAACATGTGAGCATGTTAGTTCCAGTTAGACCGTGCTTGCTGCATATAATTACTCTGCTGACACAGGGCTTTCTTTTGCAGGTTTTTGATGATTGCCATGAAGGTGGTGAGATTTCCCCATCAAACTGTATTTATATGACAGAGTGGCTGGAGTTTTAAAGTGAAAGAAAACTGTAAACTGGATTCACGCTTCACAGCCAAAGTGAACAAAGCAGCTTGCTTTTATAAAAGTGGACTTCTAAGTTTGTGAGCAACTTCAGGACATGGAGTGACTTTGTTTTTAATGAAATATAAAACAGCAACATGTCAGTTGCATGAGCAGCCCAGTGAGTGGACTGGAAATCGAGTCAGTGCTGGAGATCAAGGCTGAAGTGGAAATGTGGATCCATTCTTGTACCAAAAATTGGTTGTGTGACTTGAAAACTACCATAGAACAGCTGTGTGGTGATGCATTGCTTCCAGGGATTGTGTTGAGTACTCCACAGACGTTTATTCTGAATGAGAGAAAATAAGTCATTAGCTGATCAGAAAACTTTCTAATGACTGTTGCCAAGAATGAGATCCCCAACTTTGCTTTCAGGCTAATGCTACTGGTGGGTGCTTAAGTCTCAAAGCTGACGCTTTTCTCCTGCTGTAGCTACCATCTAATTGAAGACTAAGAATCTGATGTGGGGAAGATCCCAAATAGGTCAAACAGAACTCACTGATTCTTTATTATCTTTCTTACCTGCTAATTTGTCATTAAACCCCTGGTTTTTTTTCATGTACATCTGTGCTTCATTTCCTCCATTGCTGCCACTTGCCTGGTGATGCATCTGTTGTATTTAGTCCGTCATCTGACAGCTACGAGATCATCATCGAATGTGTTGATGTGTTCTGGCAGCTGCATCATGTACATGGATATGTTAGCTGAAATTTTGAGTACAAATCTTCTGGGAAGATGTGTTTTACAGAATAGAAAGAGTTCCTCTGGCCTGATGGTACAGGGAAGATTTTTATAGATTATTTGAATACCCTCAGGGTTGCAAAAGATGCCAATGACAGGTTTTTTTGTACATAAATATGGCCTCTGGCCTTAGTTTGTGATCTAAGAAAGGCATGATCCTGGGATATCCTGAAAAAGCACGATCTTCTCTTCCTGTGATGTGGAGCCAGTTTGTGTTTTTCTTAAGTGTGACCTCTTTGGCTACTCCTCTGACTCTGGACTGATGAATTGGCAATAACATGTAGACTGTGGTGTTGTCATAAGCCTCATGCCCAGGGTATGCCAGGCCATGGACCTCTTGAGGGAACTAGACACAGCTCTCTCTGGCTATCCATGTCCACCTGGCAGTATTAGAGGGGTGATTACTGTCTTTGGAAAATGTAGGTTCAAATCCCACTTGGGAAGTAAACAGATTTTTGTACCATCTGTGTTATGCTAATTAGTTATTCAACCTCTATCTTAACCTATAATTAAGCAACCTCTAAGAAAAAAAAAAATTAGTTCCTTTTTGATAAATGAGAATATTGTGTATATATGGTACAGCCAGCTCTCCACCATCCAGCGTAACAGAGGGCTGGAGTGAAGCAGGCAGGGTAGCGTGGGCACGTGAACTCTGCAGAGGCAGTCTGGTTCCGGTACAATTTGCTACCTGTGGCTTATCCTTGCTGTGTCCAGGCTGGATCTCTACACAACCACTCAGTATCTTCATGATCGCCTCCCAGCACTGGGGAACAATTAGCGGGGTCAAGCACAACACTGGACCTGAAAATCTAGCTATTTTAAAAATTCCCTGACTGAAAATAAGCACTCCTGGACACTGTTGGGAAGGCAATGGTCAAGCACCTCTACAACTGAGTTACCAGCGTGCCAAGTGATCTGACCATGAATACTAAATTCTATGTTAGTGGGCTAACAGAGAGAGATTTCGGAAGACAGTTTACCTAATAAGGGTAGGAGACTTCACGTCAGCTGTTTCAATACTGTCCAGGAGTTTGCGCCTTCTAAAAGCAGTCTGGATCCCATAGGAATGTTCAAATCTTGCTTGATTCCTGTTCTTCTACTTGTAGTGTGGGTTGTGGACAGAAGGCTAATGGTGGTAAGTGCTGTACAAAGAATAATAAAAAAAAGTTCTTGTCCATACAGGGACAGTACAGCTACGGAGGCAAAGAAAGGGTCCTTGTTTGTGAGGAGGCATGCTGTCTCTGACTGGAGCAAACAACTAGTGCCGATAAGCTGTCGATAAGCGAGCATCCACAGCCGGTCCTTTCTTTTGTTGCAGTGTTGTCTGGAGGTGACAGGGATGCATATCTCTACAGAGGCAGAAGAGCTCTTACAAAAGAGGGGTGGGGGTGAAATGATCAGATGTTTGTTCTTTCTCTGCCCCCTTTAACCACTCATTCTGCTCACTTTGCTGGAGGGAGCCTTAACCTCAGCTTCAGACATCTGTTAGGTGGCCGAAGGTAATTTCATTGAGGTGTGGGGCTGGGGTTGCCTTTGTCTTCCTACCTTCAAAGAGGACCTAACACAATAGGGTCCAGAATCCTGCTGCTGCAGAGATAACGCATTGTTTGTGCAGCTAGAAGATAGCTTTCAGGGAAACAACCCGCCTTTATCATGCAGGTATGTCACTTTATGCAGCATGACCATATTGATTGGCAATAAGAAAAAGGAGAGCGAGCTTGTCATCGAGCTTGTCATCGGGTGAACAGCTTTAGGAAGTAGAAAGCTGGTTTATTAAGCTCTCTAAATTCTGGCTTGTTTGCATTGGGTTTATCTGCATTAGATGACCTTTGTGGTCTCTGAAGCTTCTTAGTGTTGCAGCTATAACAAAACTTCTCAAATTTGGAAAAAATTTGCCAATAGAGAAAATTAAAGCAATTTCACTTTCCTGTCTGTAAAATAGTAATCTGTCTGATCTATTTCTAAATGAATTAGAGGAACGATCTTTCTGTCGCTCTGGTTCTTCACGAACCTGGCTAAGCTATTAGCCTGTAATTCCTTTTTAAAAAGGGAGTAAATGCTAAAAGATAACAATAGTCTAATCTTTTTTTCCCTCCCCGAGTTCCTTCAGTCTTCTACCTAGCAAAGCTGTCCCCTTTACAAACTGGTATGAAATGTAACATTTTGAGGAAGCTATACTAGCTCCAGTATGGAATATGAAAGCTCTCTGCTTTCTACACGTTACGTGTTAACCCTCAGAACACGGATGACCGCTCAGAAGCATGTTCAGAAACATCATTTCTTTACGCAAGCCTCATAGAAGAGGTCACGGTTCAGCTGCTGCAGGACCATGGTGGGCCTGGGTTGGAATGCTCAGCCCCATTACCATGAGCCCTGGGGTAAACCTACCAGGCTGCTCTGAGCAGTGTCCTCGCCAGTGGTAACAGACTGTACAAAAGCAAGGTGGAGGGTGGTCACACCCAAATGCCATTTTCACATGGAATCAAGTGTAAGATTGCTTTTTATTTCCAAGAAAAACATTAACTACAGTACCAGGCTGCATTGTGAACAGAGGGAGAGCACAGCTAGCGGGTACTGTTTAACATGTCTAGCCTTTACAGTCCAAAGTTTAAAACATTAACATTGATGGCAAACCTGAAGCTCTGATAATGAAATCATTTACCCCCTGGCTGAGTGGCTGTTTGTTTTTTCCTGGTTTTGGGTTTTTTATTTAATCTGATTATTAACTCTTGCCCCTTCTGGAGGTGTTAAATATTCATCTGGCGCTGTGTGAGTGCCATCTTCTGTCTCGTCCTGGTATGGCTACCCTAGGGCTCAAGAAACAACAGGGAAAGCTCTTAAACCCTGCTCTGGTTTCCTGTTTTGCCTCCATGTGCAGAGCAGCTTTGGGGAAGAAACAACAGCGAGTGGGGCAGCTGGGTCTCCGATTGCTGCCAAACACTTCATGCTTTAAAACAGGGTATAGATACCTTAAACTGGGCTGTCCTCCACCACACACAGATCACCTTCCCCTCTTGCTTCAGGTAGCTGGGACTTTCTGGCATTTCACCTATGAGAAATGGGTAGCCAAGCCCTCAGCTGCACTGAGCCCACTCCTGTGGCCTGGAGGGGGCAAAAAGGTACTATGAGAAGCTTCACGGATGGTGTCTGAGTTCTTGTTGAAAATGTTCACTTCCTTGCTGAGAAGGTTAATTATTGCACTTCACACACTCTTCAGGAGATCCTGGGGGGAAAGGGGAGGAGGGCAAGTGGAGCTCAAAGCATTCTCCTCTTTCAGCTGTTAGACACAAAACAAGTTGGGGCTTATGTATGTAGCTTGTGCTTTTCCCCCCCTCTCTCGCTTTTTGAACAAGCTTGTGATTGTTCTAGGAAAACAGAAAAATGGGAAAGCTTTTACTTTAGTTATTCGGTCTAGAAACACAGAGCTTTAAGATTCTTCTCCCCTTGTAAACCCACAATAGTTGCTCAATGTTTTAATTAATCTAATGCTAGCAGGGTGGGTGCAGCACAACCTTGAAGCCCTGGGTCCCAGTAAGGCGCTGTGCTTTGCTTTTGAGACATGGCAATGTGAGGAAGATGTAAAATGAAGCATAAAATAACAACTCCAGAAAAGCAGATTTGCTTTGTCTCTTGCTGTAACTGCTTGGAGAGTAAGTCCTGGGACTGAGGCTGTTAACAATAGTAGTAATTTGAATTTTATACATGAGAATATAAGCATCAGTAGCATTCCTCTACTTTTTTATTCTTACTGAATTCGTGATCTTCTCGTGTTCAGACTTTACATGAGCAAATTTAACCCCTGCAGAGCACACAACTTGCCTTAGGAAGCTGGGAAGGCAATATTAATGTTCAGCTCATATAGCATCTTGTTTTGCTTTGTTTTGGACCTGGAACATTGCTCTCCACCATTAGTTGCTTCAGTAGAAAATATACCTTTTCTGCCCTGGGAAGAATGGATGACTGGCTCTTGGTTAAAACAGTTTCTGCAAGCATTACCTGGATAATGCCAATCTCCCTGTGGAATTCAGTATTGTGAAAATAGTTCTTATCTGTGTACTTATGCAGTGCTGCTCCATATCTGTTGGCCAATTCCTTCTGTCCTTTCCAGGGAAGGGAAGGACTGCCGATGAATCCAAACTCTGCAATAGCCTAATGGCAGTTTCACTGGATCTTTTTCCACTGCCAGGGTCTGTTGAAGTATCTTGAGGGGCACAGAGAATAAAGTTGAAAACCTTGTCCTTCTCTCCTCAATGGTTTGTTTAACTTCTTGCTATTTCTAGTGTAAGCAAACTCTTAGCACAGACTGTGAACTGGGAGCAGTCATAAATTTTTACAGGTGCTTGAAGGCTGAGAATAGATTACCTACTTTTTTTTTTATAGCCAAGCATTCCATCATAGACTGCACAATAGCATTTAAAACATATTTATAATCCTAATTGCTTAGTATATGTCAAAGTTGGCCACTTTTCCTATGCACGGTTTTACCATTCTCATATAGCTGAGAAAAGTGTAAGATGTGTCCCATGTAGCTCATAGAGTAGAAAGAAAAAACATCACCCTGTGGTTGGTCACAACAGAGCTTCTCTACAGGCAATCTAAGCTCCACAGTTTAGCCAGCTTTTATGTTTCTTGTGCTAGTTAACTGGTAGGAGGTAATGCCACCTGGATCAGTAGAGCTCCACACCACTGTCCCTCTCGGTTTTTTTTAATCTGCCATATTAGAGGTGTAGGCAGACACCAACAAGATAAGTGGGTGAGTTCTGACATACCTGAGAAAAACAGAAGCCTAAGGATTAAATCTGCATGAAGGACCACACAGCTGCACAGTATTTCAAACATGTTGCTCCTGTTGTTTTAAGCTGAGTGTGACCAAGCAACTTCAGAACAAATTTTAGGCTTTCTTCTAACCACTTACTTTAAGAAAAATACAAAATATTCAAACTGTAGATTTCTGTTGCATTTAAAAGAGAGAAAATGGAAAAAAACCCTAAGGCTTGACAGTGTATGGGTGAGTGAACTTGGTCACAGGACATTGATTTCCTTCAAGTAAAGTTGGAGTGAAGCTCACACAGAAGCCTGGGGAATATTTCTAGGCTGACCACTACAGGAATTCAAGGCAAGCACTGAAACTGTTAGAAGCAGGTTGAGATGTTTCACTACAATGCCTTTGCCCTGAGAAGTATGTGTGAAAGTTTACAGCATTCATAGATGGATTTGCATGTATACATTAAGGTAGGACAAATCCTGCTTACACAGCATTACATGAAGCTGCAGTGGAGGATTCCTGTCATCGGTCTCGCTAGGAGCAGGCTTTGCCTCTTTGGCTTCAGAAGAGACCATGGGAAGCAACAAGAGAAGGAAGCAATGAAAGAGGAAATGTATTTGCCTGGTTTCAAGGCACAGACAAGCTTCTGGGGCAAGTCAGACTTGGTCGAACCTCTACCACACATCCACAGGCAGCACGTTGCATTTCTGGATATTGTGGCCATCCCTGGATCTCTCCTCACTAGTGGGTCTGGGCGCTGGGGTTTTCCCAGCAGGCTGGGGTTTCCTCACAGAGAGATGAACCACTGCAGCCTCCGGCCAACCAAGCAAAGCTGGCTCCCATGTCGTTTCTGGAGACAGCAAGGGAGGAAAATCCAATTTACTGGGGTCAGGTGTATTCAAAAGCAAATGCCAGCAACGAGGTACAGGAATGGTGGGAAATGTGCTGTCGAAGGGCATGTGTCCTCAGGGCAAACCAAACCAGGCAAATGTTGCCTCAGTCCTTTCCAGTTTCCCACCATGTCTGCTCCCGCCTCATCCCCCGGCCCGCCGGCCCTGCCTCATCGCAGGCCTGGGCGCCTCAGGGCTCGGCCTGCTGCGCTTCCCGGAGCCAAGGTGCCCGGGGAAGGTGACTCTGGACTGAGAACTGAGGCAAAGAGGAGGCCGCCTGGGGCTCAGTTTATGTTTTTAAAAAACTCTCTGTATTGTTAGTAAATTGTTACTGATAACCTTTTCCCAGGAGTTTCTACGCTTACAAAGACCGGACCTCGAATACTGTGTTCAGTTTTGGGCCCTTCACTACAAGAAGGACATTGAGGTGCTGGAACATGTCCAGAGGAGAGAAACGAAGCTGGTGAGGGGTCTGGAGCACAAGTCCTGTGAGGAGCTGCTGAGGGAACTGGGGTTGTTTAGTCTGGAGAAGAGGAGGCTGAGGGGAGACTTTATTGCCCTCTACAACCACCTGACAGGAGGCTGTAGGGAGGTGGGGGTTGGTCTCTTCTCCCTGGTAACGGGTGATAGGATGAGGGGAAATGGCCTCAAGTTGTGCCAGAGCAGGTTTAGGTTGGACATTAGGAAAAATTTTTTCGCTGAAAGGATTGTTAAGCACTGGCACGGGCTGCCCAGGGAAGCGGTCGAGTCCCCATCCCTGGAGGTATTTAAAAGATGGGTAGATGAGGTACTCTCCAAAGCCGCCGAGCACCCTGCGGGAAGAGCTGCTACCCATCCCGCAGCTCGCTGCCCTGTGCCGGTGCGGGAAGGCGACGCCTCCCCCCCCATATTTAGTAGGGGCACCTCGTTCGTCTCCATTCCAACGCTGCACCTGGCGCCCTTAGTCAAGATGGCCTCCCTGACGCCACCGCCATCTTTGGTAGGGTCACGCCCCTTCCCCTCCTTCAGAACGGCGCGTAGAGTGCCCTTAGCCAAGATGTCGGCGGAGCCTCACTGGGGGAGGTCGGGGCGTGCTGATGCCGCCATCTTGCCTGCGGGCAACGCCGTACCGCTGAGCTGGCCTTGCCG